GAGCAGATGTGAAAATGTGTCAGAGATTTCTCTCTCTCTCTCTCTCTCTCTCACTCTCTCTGTCCCCAAAATTTGAGTCTTTCATAATGGTCATTCCGCTGCATTTTTACATCAGTACAAACCAGAACGTCATCCACATACGTCGGTTTAATAAGTCGGACTGTTGGACTGTCTCACAGTGGACGTCCATAAGTGTCCCGACTCTCCTAACTGTCCTAGTTGTTGTATCTTTCTGAGTTGTCCTAGTTGCCTTAGCTGTTCTAGTTGCTCTATCTTTCCTAGTTGCCCTAGTTGCCTTAGTTGCCCTAGTTGCCTAGCTTTAGCTGTGTTTGTACTGTCAGCCTCTGGGTTCTTTTTAAATGTGTAATTTCCTTGGTTTGTGTGTTTGAGGACACACTGGAGAAACACACACACACACACTGGTCATTCACACTCACCAGCTCACAAGTATTAGCTGAGCTCTGTGTACTCTGTGTACTCAGCTCTGTGTACTCTGTGTACTTCAGCTACTGTGAAGTGAAGGAACCTGTGAGCCAATCAGGGAAGAGTTCCAGTGGACGACGGTTCAAACCTACGTTGATGTCACATGTACAACACGTGGATTTTTAGTTTGTGTTTGTAAACACAGCGAGCGACGACTAATGACGAGGAGTTCACACTAACGACTGCATGTGATACAGTGTCGTACGACTGTGACCTTACAGAGTTGACCTTCACCTGGAGGAACAACACTGCTACTGCAGTACTAGACCCTCCGATAATATCATGTCGCCCGATAATGTTGGATATATCAATATATCAATGTTAGCATCATTGTATAATATGAATCCGTAAGAATCGCTATCGGATTTCTCTATTCGATATTGAAAACCCGATAACGTAACGCCGGCCCGTGTAACGCTAAAAATACTTTTGGGGATAAACGGCAGTATGTGAAGGTGAAAGTCACTAGATGGCAGCACTGCAGCTCATTTTGGGATTGTGGGGGGGGGGTATCGGGATCGGAAATTGGAAGTGTTTGGACAACACTGTCATCTCGGACGTCCCTGCTAAGATGAGAAGACGAGACTGTTTTACCTGCTAATAATCTCAGCTCCGTCCTGTTGTTGCTGCACCTTTGAAAACAGAACAGCAGGGGGAGCATGGACCCAATCAAACACAAACACACACACACACACACAGTCTTTCATTTATTACGGTGCTGACAGGCAGCGATGTTAGTGATCTGGCCGTGGGAGGTGCAACTCCTGAATATATTCCCCCCTCCCCCCACTCCCTCCCTCCCTCATCTCCCTCCTTCCCTCTCTCCCTCTCTCCTTCCCTCCCCTCCTTCCCTCCCTCCTTCACTCTCCCCCCACTCCCTCCCTCCCTCATCTCCCTCCTTCCCTCTCTCCCTCTCTCCTTCCCTCCCCTCCTTCCCTCCCTCCTTCACTCTCCCCCCACTCCCTCCCTCCCTCATCTCCCTCCTTCCCTCTCTCCCTCTCTCCTTCCCTCCCCTCCTTCCCTCCCTCCTTCACTCTCCCCCCACTCCCTCCCTCCCTCCCTCCTCCCCTCCCTGCGCCACTCTCAATCTCTTCACCACTTTGCTCTTATCATTGCGATCGATAGTGAGGTGATTATTTTTCCTCTGACCTCACCCTTCACAAATCTCGCAAATACGGAAAACAAACAACACACACACACACAGCTAGTCTCAGAGGGTACAGTTGGGCTGATGCTAACCCACAGTTGCGAGGTTAGCGCGTGGCTCTACAGTGATCACGCGTCCAGCACAGACACACACACTTCATTACGCACATAAACGACGGCCGAAGGATCGCTAACGGAACGTGTTGTCACCATCGGGAGTGTGAGTTAGCATTTGGAGCGGTGTGACACACAAACACAACCTCCTCGACAGACCGTGACATCACCCAGCGCCGCTCTAACTGACTGTGGACATTGAATTTATACGGCTTTAAGTGCAGGGAATGATGGGAAATTTTCTCCCCTCTCAATGTGACAGACGACCTTCTTAATGTAAGGCGCAACATTTTGTCAAGTCCAGAGGTGTAAACCTTTTTATTTTGTTTTTTCTTTATTAAAAAAAGAATGTTTTTATATTTTATTTATCACTGAAGAAGTTCTTTCAGTCACGAATAAATTTAATCACTGACACAATGAACAATGAAAAAGAATTTAATTATAATTACTTTTTCTCATACTCTAAATCTGTCCTAACTTTAGTCAGATGTTTTTTTAATTGACACAAATTAAAAAAAAAAAAAATCAGTTTTTAACAGCTATTGTTGTCATTTGAAATAGCTCTACACAGTAATATTTTCAAAGTGTATTTGCAGTATAAAGGACGTCCTCTAGGGGGCAGTTAAAACAAAATAAAAAAACCTAACATTTTGAATTAAGTTAAACCATACGTATCAAACTCAAGGCCCAGGGACCAAATGCGGCCCGCCAAGCCGTTTTATGTGGCCCGTGAGAGCTTAGTAAAGTCCATGCAGCAGAGTTTCTTGACCTAAATAATCTAAAGTTTTATAATCAATCAAATAATAATCAATTGCACAAACATGTATCAGTTAGAAAAATCAAACCTCTTTTAGACTCTGTTTGGATCAGAGTCTGAACGACCTGTTATTTTAAAATCACATTCTCTACTGTGGCCCGGTACCAAATAATCTGTGGACTGGTATTGGCCCGCGGACCAGGGGTTGAGAACCCTGATCTATACAGTCTTCCGTGAAAATGAGTTTGACCCCCGCCCCCCCAGGTTAAATGAGCTGAGTTTTCAAATACCTCATGGTACGAAGGTCCCAGCCTCTGATGGCCGTGTCGTTGGCCGTGGCGAGCTGGCTGCAGTTATGGTGCGGACTCCACTTCCCTGAGGTGAACTTCAGCTGACCTTTGCCCTCCAGTGTAGCGGTGCTAGAGAGCTGCAGCAAAAAGAACATGAATTATATTAAAGTGCATTTGTTTCCATTTTGACCCTACGACCTTCTTACAGTAGTACTTAGTACTGTAGTAACTGTTAGCCATGTCCGATATGAACGTTTTGCCAATATCCGATATGCCGATATTGTCCATACACTGAATTTCCGATTCCGATATCAACCGATACCAATATTGCGGGGCAGTGCTGACCTGGTGGCCACCTGATCAAGGTGATAGGTTAAAGCAGTGTTTCGCAATTATTTTTTGCCATGCCCCCCCCCTAGGGGACAAAAATGCCTTAACCCCCCCCCTCCACAGTGATATTTATTTGTTTATCTGTACAAACCACTGTATGACTGTTATTTAAATAGATTAATAAAATGAGCTGCAACGCTGCCACCTAGTGACCTTTACTTTCAAATACAGCCGTTTTTCCCCAAAACTATTTTTAGGCCACACGTAATTTGGCGAAACCCAGGCATCGTGAAAATGAGTTTGACCCCCGCCCCCCCAGGTTAAATGAGCTGAGTTTTCAAATACCTCATGGTGCGAAGGTCCCAGCCTCTGATGGCCGTGTCGTTGGCCGTGGCGAGCTGGCTGCAGTTATGGTGCGGACTCCACTTCCCTGAGGTGAACTTCAGCTGACCTTTGCCCTCCAGTGTAGCGGTGCTAGAGAGCTGCAGCAAAAAGAACATGAATTATATTAAAGTGCATTTGTTTCCATTTTGACCCTACGACCTTCTTACAGTAGTACTTAGTACTGTAGTAACTGTTAGCCATGTCCGATATGAACGTTTTGCCAATATCCGATATGCCGATATTGTCCATACACTGAATTTCCGATTCCGATATCAACCGATACCAATATTGCGGGGCAGTGCTGACCTGGTGGCCACCTGATCAAGGTGATAGGTTAAAGCAGTGTTTCGCAATTATTTTTTGCCATGCCCCCCCCCTAGGGGACAAAAATGCCTTAACCCCCCCCCTCCACAGTGATATTTATTTGTTTATCTGTACAAACCACTGTATGACTGTTATTTAAATAGATTAATAAAATGAGCTGCAACGCTGCCACCTAGTGACCTTTACTTTCAAATACAGCCGTTTTTCCCCAAAACTATTTTTAGGCCACACGTAATTTGGCGAAACCCAGGCATCGTGTTATCGGGTTTTCATTATCGAAGAGAAAAACCGATAACGATTCTTACAGATAATTCATAATTATGCTAATATCGGGCCGATAATATCGCACATCCCTGGTAATCACAGTATATTTGAGGTAAATAATAAAATGATACAAACATTGTATATTTTGTTTAAACGAACGACTAACATCATCGACTGTTGTCCAATCACGGCTGATATTTTTAGTGAAGTCATTTCCTTTCCATCCTCACGTGTCAGCGATGTCCGAGACGTCAAAATTTGAGCGTACAATTTGAGCGTCACACTTTTTGTTGATGCTAACTGTGTGCTATATTCTTTGTTCTGAAGAGACGATGGAAACCAGAGATACAGGAAGTTGAGTCTGATTCATATTCTTGGTGTTGATGCAGCTCTCACTCAAACTGTGCTCCATGTGTGAACAGGCAACTATATATAACGTGTTAGCGATATCAGCTCCTGGAACTAATGTCAGATGTTTCCTCAGGTTGATAGACTCAAATTAGCTGCAGGGAAAGTGTGCAAAGATAGAAGAGAAAACGAAGGCAACACCTTAGGAAGGATGGACCAATAAGAACGGACGGGGACGGGATGGAACCATCTACAGATGAACACACAGCCGGTACAATCAAAGCTCCTGATGCACCGGCCTCCGTCAGCAGAGCCCACTGACCCCTGCCTCTGTCAGGACCCGGGGCTGAAACGTGATGAGAACTCCCACTGGCCGTTTGTAGTAGTTTGTAGTAGTTTAGCAAAAAAGCAGTTACGTGACTCTGGTTATACTGCAATATTCAGAAAGTGTTCGGCATTGAATATTTAATGTCCTTTAAAAATCATTAAGACACGTCTGCTTTCTTTACATTTTAATAGGTCTGCGTATGGACGAGAACCTGGAGATAGGATAGGTATCA